TTTAAGAACACATGGGGCACAGTGTGGAAGGTGCACTGATTTAAGCTACAAGGTGGAGTAAGAAGGTCACTAACATTAGATTCTTACAACAATCCAAGTGAGAAGTGATGAAGCCGGAATGAGGGCAATGCACAGAGAAGAGGGTACGGGGCCAAGGAGTAACCAGAACTTCATAGCTAAATGGATGGGGCAGATTAAGATAGAGGCAGAGCGTCTGGGTTGGTTGGTTGAGTGCATGGTGATACCTTTAATGAAGGAGCGTGTTGGAGGGAAACCTCGAGTTCAGGCTGAGACACAATTGGTTTCCCTCCATCCGACATCTAATGAGATGGCGTGCTAGTCTGTAACTCATGGCTATCAATATGCATTTGGGGGAGTCATCAACAACCCCATAATTAAAAGACTGAGAACACAAGAGACCTTCCAGAAGGAGAAGGGAAGAGCAGGGGTTCAAGGAGAGAGTTCTGGGGAATCAGTGAGGATGCACTCATGATGGAGACACTGACATGGAGGAGGAAAACCAGGTGGGTATGGCAGAAAGGAGTCTATCAATGATACAGAGAGATGTATGGATAAATACACACAGACAAAATGCCATACAATCTTTTTTATAATTCCTAATATTGTTATGGATTCAAGTGAAGGGGCATCCCAGGCAAACCAAACCAAGCCACACCTCACACCACCAGGCCCCCTGGCATAGCTTCCCAGGGTAGCCGGCTGCTTCCTCATCACTCCCCAAATGCAGTGTGGACCTTGACCAAGCCCCCTCTCTGAAGACTTCCTCCCCTTTGCCCTCTGTTTTTCCATGAGTGAAATAAAAGGGTTGGATTAAAATCACAGCCAACAGTGTATATGTCCATCAACAGCTGAGTAGGTGAAACAAATTGTTGTACAGCTGTACAACGGAATATTACACAGCAATGAAAAGGAATGAACTCTATTCAACAACATAGATGACTTGCCAAATAATCATTCTGGGTAAAAAAATAAAAGCCAGACAACCCCCTCCCCGCAAAAGAGTAAATACTGCATGATTCCATTTATATAAAATTCTACAAATGCAAAGTAAGCTAGAATGACAAGCAGACAAGTTGTTGCTTGGGAATTAGGGAGTGGGGGTCACAGAGAGGACTTGGAGGGAAAGATTACACAGGGGCATGAGGAAGTTTGGGGGCATGATGCATGTGTTCGTTATCTCGACTGTGGTCATGGTTTCACAGATATATATGGATGGCAAAACTTATCAAATTGTGCACTTTATGTGCTTTTTATTGTATGTCAATTATTCCTCAACAAAGCTGTACAAACATATAATCACAAAATGATCTCTAGGGGATTTCCAACTGATTTCCAACTCAATTTTGTTTTCATGATCCCTCTTTGATCCCTTTACAGAACTCTCTTCAAGAAACATCATTAGCCCCAAGTAAATATCCTTGTGTTGTTACAAGGCACCAGTTCTAGGTTTTCCAGCTGGAAAAATTCTGAGTAACCCTCAATAATTAAGGATACAGTCCTTCACTTCTCTTCCCCCCAAGCTCACCAAAATCTTACTGGGATCAAATGTCCTAAAAGATGACCTCTATTCTCTGTGTAGGGCACTAAGTAAAGAAGAAAATTCAAAATCAAACAAAACCTTTTTCCACCAACTTCCACTCTTGTGATGTAAATGAACTGAAGCCAAAGATTTTAAGAGTTGCCTGACTCCTTTGGGGCTAACATGGCTGTTGATGAAAAGGGCTCTAAATGTGAAAGAATGGGTCTCTTCCAGCGTTGGAGTGACACCCTTGCCAACAATTAGTTTGTTGGAGGACTAAACAGCAATCCAGAGATTGGGAGATGCGGATGGCTGTGGCGGGAATATTTTTTTTAAATCCTGTTTCAACTTCCAACTGCAAAATGAACCAGCCCAATTTAAAGTTTTGCAACTTCTGACCACTGATCTACATTCTTGAAAGGTTACATATGAAATAAATGTGGTAAGTGTGTGTGTGTGTACGTGTTTTAAGTTGCATCATCATTCTCTAATTCATTTACTATAATGAAGAAAGAGACTTGGGGTCATTTGAATTCTGCCTTAGCAACTTACAAGCCTTGTGATCTTGGACAATCCCTTAACTTCTGTAAGCTTCAACTTCCTCCCTAAAATGGAGTTGAACTCAAAGAGCTGAGCTAAAAATTCTACAAAACGAGAAAGGCACCGGGCCTGGTACATGGAAAACATTCAGTAATGCTTTATGAAATCTGTATTGTAAATATCTATGGGGGTGTTGTTTTGGAGTCTCTCATCTCTTCCTCTGATAAGCCTTCATCTGGTTACAACTCAAAACCACATAACTTATAGATCACCGTTCTCTCACCTTCTGTCACATTAATAATTGGAATCCACAAAAGGGCAAGAACACATTAATGGAATTCCCTATTTAAAACAGCAACAGCTAAGGCTTATTGAACACTTAAAATGTGCCAAACATTGGGCTTCCCTGGTGGCGCAGTGGTTGAGAGTCTGCCTGCCGATGCAGGGGATGTGGGTTCGTGCCCCGGTCTGGGAGGATCCCACATGCCGCGAAGCCCGTGACCCATGGCCGCTGAGCCTGCGCGTCCGGAGCCTGTGCTCCGCAACTGGAGAGGCCACAGCAGTGAGAGGCCCGCATACCACAAAAAAAAAAAAAATGTGCCAAACATTGTTGTATGTGATTTTCTTGGTTTGTCATTTAATCCTCGCAACAGTCCTATAAAGTTCATACCATGACCCCCATTTTACAGATGAAGAAACTGAGGCACAGATAAAGTCTTTTTCCCAAGGTCTCACAGCTAATAAGAGGCTGGGTGGCCCAGGTGGTGGCCCAGGATTTAAATCCATGCAATCTGACCGTGGGGTATCTGCACTTAACCACTACTCTCTACTGCAAGCTTCTTATAAAATTTTATTTGTTTTATTTTTGGCTGTGTTGGGTCTTCGTTGCTGCGCGTGGGCTTTCTCTAGTTACGGTGCGCGGGGGCTACTCTTCGTTGCGGTGCACGGGCTTCTCATTGCCGTGGCTTCTCTTGTTGCGGAGCACGGGTTCTATGTGCACAGGCTTCAGTAGTTGTGGCGCACGGGCTTAGCTGCTCCGCGGCATGTGGGATCTTCCCGGATCAGGGCTCAAACCCGTGTCCCCTGCATTGGCAGGCGGATTCCTAACACTGCGCCACCAGGGAAGCCCTGCAAGTTTTTTTTTAAATGGATTTTTAAACACATTTGTTTGACTTTTGTTAAACAAATCATCACAGACTTACCTCCGGGGTAATTTTGGATATTGAGTCATAACAATCACGGGTCCCTTAAGGAAAGAGTTTTCAGAAATGTTAGATTATCATTTAGTTATGGCTGTAGGCAGGGCCATAACTAAACAACAGACACCTTGTAAAAAGCCTGAGAACGAAATCCCACCACTTCCGTTCATAGTTCATTTCAAAGTTTAATAGTCAGGAAATTTTTAAATGACAACTAATTTAATTCCTTTATCTGCACGCTAAGCCCCATTCCTTGGGCTGATAAACCCCAATATTTCCATTTCTCTTATTCCTTCACTCAACTATTGAGTAAACATTTACTAAGTGTGAACTATTAAAAAGAGCTTTATTAAGTGTGTCGGGCCCAGTTCTATCACTGAACATGGGGAGGAAAAGCTCTCAAGTTCTGATAGGATCAATCAGGAAATTGGTCAAGTTTGTGTGCACAATGCGCGTGTTGGGGGAGGGGGAGATTTGCAGTGACAGCGTGGGGAGAGGAGAAACTCTCTTTTATGGAGGTGGGCACAGAGCTCCCCGGCAGCGCCCACTTGTGGGCTTAACATATAATGAAATATCTCAACACAAACTCACCCAGAGCAAACCCCCAGGAGATGGGGAGGGGGTTGGAAATGGGCCAGTTCCATGCCTGGAAAACCTACACTTTCCTTTTCCAGTGTCCTCAGTCTATCCAGCACCACCAGCTTGCCATCTTCCCTGTGTAAACGCTTTCCAAGTACCGAAGTCTGTAACTAAGTGGACTCTCTTCTGCGAACACAGTAACTTCAGTGGCTGAATTAGAAATGCCCTAATGTGATGCTGAGGACCAGTGAAGGCTGCGGACTGGGAGACACAAGGTCTGGATGCTGGTTCTCGGCCACCGTGTTGCGGTCTGTTTTTACTGGGCACCTAAGGGCCCGGGATACTGAGGAGGACGCAGTCCCCACCCTCAGGGAACTTACAGTCTAGCGGGGAGACACTGACAAGCACAAGCCCCTGTGCGAAGCGGCACCAGTTACAAGGCAGTTAAACTCCTGACGTTAAGGAAGAGCAAAGCAGGCTTTCATCCACTGCTACCCTCGCACCTCACTGAACCTAGATTTTGTTCACCAAAATTAAGATAATTCCTTCTTAATCTACTTTACGGTGCTGTAGGGACCTCAAAGGCCAAAGCTCGCAGAAAAGCATAAAGGGCAATTCAAAGTAGAGACTGTTGATTAGCTACGTAACGGTGCTAATCTGCACACTTAAAGGATGTTTCATTCAGCGGTGCTACAGAAGAGCGGAACAGAGGGCTAGAAGGCTTGCAAGTCGCTGGTACCTGCTTCGAAAAAAAGCAAAACAAAACAAATAAACAAAAAAACAGTCTTGACCTAACGTGGAGGGGAATCCGGAGCAAACTACAAAGTCAAATCCTCGGAAAGTGACACGTCGGTCTGAGCCCCCGCCGCCACTCGCCTCGTCCCCGGGGTCACTCTCCAGGCGCCTGCACCACCCCCCCCCCGGAAATCCCAGACCGCGGTCCTGACAGCCCGGACCGCGTCGCGGGCGCCTCCTGGCGGCCACTCGCTGCCGCCACTACCACCCCACCCCCGCTCGGGGCGCGGGAGCGGCACTGGCGAACTAGGGAGAGAAGGGGCGTGGTCTTCTCGCGTGAACTAATGGCGTCATCGAAGCGACGGGCCCGGAAGGAAGTAGCGTGCGGAGAGGTGTGGCGGTTTCTGCGGTTGCACTGGGGTTCGGACGAGTACGGAACGCCTGGAGGGACAGCCTGGTACGCGGCCCCCGCCCCTTAGTGCGCGCGCTTGGGCCTCGGTGAGGCTCCCGGCAGGAGCTGATCGACGGTTCCCCCCGGCCCCCAGCACAGCATCCTTTCTCCCTCGGGAGCGGGAAAGCAGCCCCTTTCTGTCCCGACCCTTCCTCGCGAGCCTCTAGGCGGGACGGAGCGGAGGCTCTTGGAGCCTCCAGCCCCGACCCAGGGCTGCTGGGACTCGCGACCCTCTCTCAGAAGAGGGCAGGGAAGGAGCGCGAAGTGGGGCGGGGGTGACTTCGGGGAGGAAAGGGCTTTTGCACATAGGACGCAGCTGCAGATCGGTAGCTGGAGGCCGCACGGTGAAATAAGCGCCTCGCAGACGTCTGCGCCCGAGTTAAGTTAGACCCGGGAGGCAGAAATCCACGCGCAGGACGCGTGGGCCCAGGCGCGCCCGATTGGGAACCTCGCTGACAGTTACCGTAGTTTTTCCAGATCATTCAGTGTTCAGGAAATGAGTCTCTGGATGCCAACTCTTTCGCATCCTGATGCCTGAATACAGTTGAACCCAGGAGCCCCAGAGTCTACCCAGCCTGGGGAACCCCCTTTCCCCTCTAACCGTGGGCTTGGGGAACCTGTCAGGTGCAAAGTGCCAGTCAAGCATATGGGAGGGAGTGTGGCTTCAGTGCTGCTCAGATACCTATATTGTTTAGGGCCAAAGGAATAACGGGGAAGATGGATGAAAGGCCAGAGAATCCCGCCATGGAACTCGGCTCGCATGCTGTCTGTGTCGCTCCAGCCTCTGAAAGGAGTAAATAATGGTTTCCTTTGAAGTGGCAGGCAATTAAGGACTGGGAGGCTCTGACCAGAATTACACAGCCACAACTGCCTGTCATCTGACATCCTCTGTAATTTGGGCCAACGTACTGCAGCTGCCTCGCTTCCCTTTTACTAATATGAGTGGCTCCGGTGACAGCCCGTTCGTGTTCACAGGAAGGGAAGGCTGTGTCCTGAACGCTGCCCAATTGGCACTGGTTCTCCCTTGGGCCACGGCTGTATCTGGAGCCAGTTAAGGAATGGTGGTGCCAAGTGAGAGCAAGGAGGAAGAGAGTTGTAGATCTAGCCTTGTGTTCATACTACTACAGGCTGGACGTGAGCCACTTTCCGGAGCTCAGCTTGGGGAGGTGCTCTCGCTGTCAGAGCTTTTCTCCCACAAGTCAGAGCGCACACGTCTTGCTGTATCTTTTCCCCCAGGGTGAACGCTCACTGATGGCTCAGTTGGGAGCAGTTTTGGCTGTGGCTGCCAGTTTCTTGTGTGCATCTCTCTTCTCAGCTGTGCACAAGATAGAAGAGGGACATATTGGGGTGTATTACAGGTAAGGCAGCGACAGGGAGTAGCTTGCAACTTCCTGTTCAATGACTGGCTTTCCTAGTCAATGTTTAACAGATTCTGCTGACGAATTGTGTTTATATTTTGTTGAATAGGGGAGTCTTTTAGGTTGAGCTTTTGTGTCAGTGACCGTGGGGAGGGGAATACACACACACATAAATACATATATAAATGTAAATATAAAACCTAGTAGTCTGATGCCATGGATGATAATCGATAAACGTGTAGAGAGATTTAGAGAGAAAACCTAAAGGCAACCATGCTCCTTGAAGATCATCTCTGAAACACTGTTTTCTCCTACTTCCCTCTGGGCGTCTTGGTGCCACAAGCTTACCTCTGACGAGTACCGGTTCTTGATGGCAACCTGAGGAGATGTAATGTGGACCTACTCTTTAAAATTAACATTTCAGAAAGAATGAAAGAGCCTGCAGGTTGATTTGTATCCATCAAGGCAAGCTCTAGGATAGTGGTTCTTACAATAACCCATTATGTCACCTTATTTTTATTGCTCTTTTTTTTAAAAAAAATGTATCTGTGACTTAAATAATATAAAGCAAAAAAGCATTTAATATAAATCTTGTGTTGCTTTCCTTTGAGTAACCTCCATAACCAAGTTATTTGCTTTAAGTCTTTATGAACTCCTTCTTATATGTACTCCGTAATGCTTTTTCTCTGGATGCCAGTAGCGAGTTCTAGAAGTCTGATTGGGTCCCCCTCTCCCTTTAATTATTTCTTCCCACCATCTGTTTCTATGTCCCCCAAAATGGCTTTTAATTTTATTACCATTTACATATAACTTGATTAGAAAAGTAACTGTACTGCCAAAAAAAATATTTAGATGGTTTATCAAGTGTACTTAAAATTATTCTTTTGGTTCTTTGTGTCACTGGACTCCAACACTAGTACCATTAATTGGTCACTATATTACCGGATTTAACTGCCCTTGTGGATCGCCACAAGCCCAACAGATACGACAAAACAGCTCTCCTCTCTTATCTCAAGTATAGCCAGGGATTCTGCTGTCTTTATTCCACTTTGTCTGTGTGCCCGTTTTTCTCACTGCAAAAGCATGAATAGCAGTTTTAGGTTTTAGCATCAGGCTTCCTAGAATATTAGGGTCAAGCTGAGAGGAAGAAAGGGATCTGTGGGCATGGCTCTGGCACATGTCACTCTATATTAAATGTTTATGGGGCTGCAGAGAAAGTGGGCCCAAACAGTATTGATGTAACAGACACCCCTTTGCTAAACCAAGCCTGCCTCTCTCTCCCTCCTCTGCAGAGGCGGTGCCCTGCTGACTTCCACCAGCGGCCCTGGCTTCCATCTCATGCTCCCATTCATCACATCCTATAAGTCTGTGCAGGTATACTCAGCTTGAGGGGCAGGGTTGGACGACTGCAGACTTGGGTGGTGATTAGTGCATGATTTGGAATGATTTAGCCATTGGATGAGTGGATGAGTATAATGCCTTTTCAAGGAATCAATTAAGAATAAGTCATATATATAATATAAAGTATATAATATAAAGTATATAAAGTATAAATATAATATAAAGTATAAAGTATGTAATATAAAGTAATATAAAATATAAAGTATGAGCCAAAACTTCTGGAGTTTTACTTGATTGCTGAAATAGCTGAACGGGGTCATTGCCTTGGCCCGTCATTCCCAGCTGGGAACTATGGCTTCACTTCAAGACAAAAGCAGAGAAGAATCTGTTCTGAATACGCAGAAGGAAAAACAGGATGTTTGTGCATCTGTATGTTTTAAACCACAGGCTACCAAGATAGATGGAAATAAAACATGGTAATTTTGCTGGTTCTTTTTTGAATTTCAGAGATGTGAACATAATTGGGGGGGGTGAACTTGGAGAAGGGAAATGACATCTAAAATAGGTGTAGGATTAGTTATGACAGACCCAAAGCCAGGCTAAGTTAGACTAGTCATCTTTGAAGTATGTCCAGCTAAGAGGAATAAGAAGATTCAGAGAATGACTTTTAAACTAACCCAGGAAAATATCCTGGGTTACCTCATCAGCATTTGCCCTGTAGGTTTCTTCTGCCATTTACTGTGCTTGATGATTTTCAAAGCGCATTCGTGCACATTATCTCATTTGAGTTTCACAGTAATCCTGAGAATGGGCCAAGCAGGTTTTAGAGGCTATGAGGTTAAATAAAGAATCTGCTGTTTCAAGACTAGTAGATGGAAGAAATGGAAGTAAACACGGGTCTTAGGACTCCTAATCCAGTGTCTTTTTCACTAAACCATCATTGCTCAGCTTGTTCATGTGGTGGTTCCTTTACAGGGAAGCAGGTTGGGTACCTTTGCTTGGTTTAGTCTCACACTCTGTAAGTGAGGAGCATTCATTGGGGGTATTCACATTTCACAGAGGCAAAGTTTAACCCAAATAAGTATTCAAGGCAAAGGCTGTTTGGGTTTCCCAAAAGAACTCATTTTGTTTGCCACTGCTCACCTTACAGCATCTTATGTCTCCCCTAATTCCAGACCACACTCCAGACAGATGAGGTGAAGAATGTACCTTGTGGGACAAGGTAAGGTGCCCAGAATAAAGCTGTGAAGCCCAAATAAGAGGCAAGGCCATCTGGCTGGCTACGTAAGAGACAGTGAAAAGGGACGTACCACTTGGTGGTTTCACCAAGTTCTCTGCCCCCAAGCTCCCTATGTTCTGAGTTGAGTAGGTGGTGGAGTGCAGTAGAGAAAATCGCAGAAGGGAGACAAGTTTGGAAGGGCCTTGAATGCCATGATAAAGGCTTTTAGCACACAAATAACTTGCTAGAGGAAGATAACTTTAGCAGAACTAGCTATGGAGGATGTTGGAAAGGTGGTAGGGGGAGAACTCAGGGGCAGGAAATTCAAAGAGAAAACCAATATGGTGGTCCGGTTGAAAAGTCAGGAAGGTCTGAACAGGGACAGAGTAACAAAGTAAACCACACCATAAGGAAACACTCGGACAAATACAGAATCGGAACATCCCACAGAATGACTGGCCCTATTTCATCACAAAGTCATTGTATTTGGAGGGGCCTTGGGTCAAAAAGGAGAAGTAAAGATAGAAGCAAATGTAATGGTAAACCTTGCTTAGAACTTGGTTCCAAAATAACAGCTATTAAAGACATTACAGAAACTGCGTTAGTCATTTTGGGCTGCCATAACAGAATACCACAGACTGGGTGGCTTAAACAACAGACATTTATTTTCTCACGGTTCTAGAAGCTCAAAGTCCAAGGTCAAGGTGGCAGCAAGGTTGGTTTCTGGCCTGCAAGTGGCTACTTTGCTGTGTCCTCACATAGCCTTTCCTCTATGCACGTGTGGAGAGAGAAAGATCTCTGGTGTCTTTTTCTTCTTTCCTTTACCAGTCCAGTCAGATCAGGGCCCCACCATTATAACCTCATTTAACCTTAATTACCCCTGTAAAGGCCCTGCTTCCAAATACAGTCGCATTGGGGATTAGAGTTGCAGCATATGGATTTTGGAGAGCACACAATTCAGTCCATGACAGGAACTTCTGGGGAAATTTGGAGAAAGACTGGGTATTAGATGGTAAGGAATTATTGCTAATTTCCTTAGGTTTGGGAATGGTATTGTGACTCTGTAGGAGACTGTCATTATTCTCAGGTGATTGATGCTTGACAGGTGTTAAGGGCTAAGGTATCCCGACCGCAGCTTGCTTTGAAATGTTCAGCAAAAAAAAAAAAAAGTAGATCAATCAATAGGTAAAATGTTAACAATTGTTAAATTTAGGTGTTGGTATATGAGTGTTAGTTGTACTATTCTTTCAGCTTTTCTGTATGTTTGAAATTGTTTTCTAATGAATGTCAGGGGCGGGGAGGGCGGAACTAAAGTGATGGTGGAAACAAAGTGAGAAACAGTGACCATAAAACCCCACATTTTTAAGTTCTGAGAACTCCGTTACCTTCTTTAGTCTCTTCCTTTCGATTGATTGCTTTAAGCAAAAGGCACTGCAGATTCAAAGGAGATGAGCTACTCTTGTGTTACCGCCAAAGTTTCGAGGTTTTTTTTTTTCCGCGGAGGTATTTTTAGGAGGTGTGATCTCTCGCGAGATTGCGTTCTCGCTAGCGGCTCAGAAGGACTCCTGCCTGGAGAGCCTCCTGCCTCTGACCTCTCATGGCCCCCCCACCCCCACCCCCCCCCCCGTGAACTCTCCTCTTCTCCTGTCAAGTCACACACCTCCCGCCACCCCCTAGGAGAGGCACCATATTCCAGGGCTTAGCCCTGACTGCTGTGTCCGTCCCTCTTCCGACAGCGGTGGCGTGATGATCTACTTCGACAGAATCGAGGTGGTGAACTTCCTGGTCCCACACGCAGGTGTGTGCTTGCCGCGCCCCTCCCCCAGCCCAGCCCCTCCCCCGCGGCCCACTCCCGCCGCCCCCCCACCGGCCCCACGCCTGCCCCGTGTCTGCTGCAGCGCCCCGGGGAGGGACAGCCGCTGTGTCCGGGGATGTGGCGAGTCCCGCCCGTCCTCATCCTGAATCTCTCCTTCCTCCCAGTGTATGACATAGTGAAGAACTACACTGCCGACTACGACAAGGCGCTCATCTTCAACAAGATCCATCACGAGCTGAACCAGTTTTGCAGTGTCCACACGCTTCAGGAGGTCTACATCGAGCTCTTCGGTAAGAAAGCCTCTTGGGATGATCACCTGCCCAAGCAGCCCTGCTTCCCCGCTGCCTACTTCTGAGCTGCCCACAGGGCGGGATGGGTACCAAAGGCCCGGAAGTGTTGAGGATCCAGCGCCCGGAAAGCGGGCGGTCACACAGGGCACTCCTGGGAAGCGCTGATGCCGGTGGAGGAAGCTCGTGAGAGGGGTTGAGCGGTGGGCACAGCAGTAATAGTGGATGGGAGGACTCGCTCCTGCCCTGAATCAGAGGCCTGGGATGGAAATGTGTTCCCACTGTCCCTAAACATGGTTTTGTAATGAAGAGGGGTCAGTTCTAGAAGAAGCTTAGAGATTACCCAGCATCCTCCTTTCAAGATAAGGGTACTAAGGCCCAAAAGGAGAAAGTGCCAGAGCTGGCTGGTAGCAGAGCTGAAGCTCAGACCTCCCTTCCCTGGCTTCGGGCTTCATCCATGCCACCCTGGATGAAGGGCACCAGGACCGAGTGATGAGAACAGCAAGGGTCACATTTAATTCTAGAAGTGGGACAAGGACCATAGCTACTTACAGTTCCTAGAACCTCTGTGAGTTTTGGTTGTTGTTGTTTTTACCCTACACCTGTAGAGAGGAATAGGGAAACGCTTAGAACAGAAAGGACCCACACAGGACTTCCCTGGTGGTGCAGTGGTTAAGAATCTGCCTGCCAATGCAGGGGACGTGGGTTTGAGCCCTGGGCCAGGAAGATCCCACATGCCGTGGAGCAACTAAGCCGGTGCTCCACAACTACTGAGCCTGCGCTCTAGAGCCCACGAGCCACAGCTACTGGGCGCACACGTCGCAGCTACTGAAGCCCGCGCACCCAGAGCCCGTGCTCTGCAACAAGAGAAGCCACCACAATGAGAAGCCCACGCACCACAACAAAGAGTAGCCCCGGGCTTCCCTGGTGGCGCAGTGGTTGAGAGTC